AACGAAGGTCTTGGGGGTTTGGAACGACATGAGGGTGAGTAATTAATGACAGAATTTTCATTTTTGGGTGAACTATCCCTTTAACTTTTGAGCACCTACTTTTTTTTACATCAATGACTGACATAAAAAAATAAAGATATTTTTCATTTGCTCACTTATTTGAACTTTTGTCATTAAAACACATCACCGTTTTGATCATGTTTTAAATGATCAAAGGTCAAAAACCATTTTGGGGCCTATTTTATTTTCTTTATATATACTTCCTTTAGGGTATATTTTTAGAAAGTATGACATTTCTTTCATTGTTATGCAGATGATACCCAAATTCATCTGCTTCTGAAAAGGAGAGATGCAAACTCCATAGCGCCACTGTTGCAGTGCCTCGAGGAAATTAAGGCCTGAATGGCATTACATTTTTAAAATTTGAATGAAGATAAAACTTAAGTCATGCTGTTTACCCCTGGGGGTGCCTGTGAGTCCGCTGATTTGGGTCTAGGTGCTTTGTAAAAACTTGGGTGTTATTATGGATTGAGACTTTAAACTGGACAAACAGATTAATTCAGTAGTTCAATCTATTTTTTTCCAGCTGAGGCAACTCTCCAAGCTGAAATATTTTCTGTCTTTTAAAGATTTTGAAAGGATTGTACATATTATCTCAACCCGTCTTGATTATTGTAATGGCCTCTATGTGGGTATCAGTCAGGCTTCCCTCACCCGATTGCAGATGGTCCAGAATGCCGCAGCTCGTTTATTAACAGGAGCATGAAAGCAAGAACACATCACTCCCATTCTGGCCTCTCTTCATTGGCTTCCTGTTCGTTGTAGAATCGATTTTAAGATTCTTGTTTTTGTTTTTAAAAATCTCTAAATGGCCTAGCAACGCAATATCTCTCGGATTTAATAAAGCCGCTTGCAAGAGTACGTAGGTCTGCTGATCATTTGCTTTTAGTCGTTCCTCGGGCTGAAGAGCAGGGGTGACCGTGCATTTGCAGTGGCGGCCCTGAAACTCTGGAATAATCTACCTTTATATATTAGACAGGCCCAAACACTTGCTGTTTTTAAAGGGGTCCTATTATGCTCTTTTACAAAGTCTTGAGTTTAAAAACGTACTTTTACAGTTTGGCATTTAACACGGCGTGAGAGCTGTTAGTTTTAAAGTGTTGTTGTTTTTCTATTATTGTTATATTTTATTCATGTTTGTACAGCACTTTGGTAAACACTTGTTTTAAAAAAGTGCTTTATAAATAAACTTTGACTTTGAAAAACATGCATTAAGATATACTGGCTAGTTTATTGCTGCATAATCAAATCTGTTCAACAAGGATCCATTTAATATTCAAAAGGCAAACATTATTATTATTATTACTATTATTATTGTCTGACAAACAGCATTTTGTACAAATTTCATTTTGTTTTGGCAAATATTTAATTATTTTACACAGGGAAAAAAGTTGGATTATGCAACAGACATATTCAGTGCCTTCACATAGTTAATTAATAAAATCAGTTTGTTATATCTGCGTTTTTCGTGCTAGATGATATGTAACCCCTTCCTTGGTGTCTGTGTTTTTACTGCATTGTGGCTGAATTATTGATTTTATTTCCCACATTTGCAAAAACATGCTTTGTGTTACAGTCACACTAGTTCATATAGAGTATGTGTCTGTGGGGGTGGGGGGTGAAGTCTGTCTGTTTTGCACTCTTGCTATTTTAGAGTGTCACTCTTTGTCCGTCTCCTGAAAAAGCGGACATGCTTTTTTTTTATTAAGAACTGCTGAGTGATTTAAAGATCTTATGTATGCAGCAGTGAGATACACATACTGACTTAAAATTTTCATTTTGCACTGAAAACTATTTGAACTTTCTTTAAACTATTTGCACTGATTTATTGTGTTGGTTACATTTTGTTCCTTTGTGCAATGCAGGAGATGAGTCTTTGAGTCTGTAAAAACCTCAACACCTCAACAAAATAGTTTTCTGAGGTAATGTCTAATGTAATTTTTCTGAGGTAATGTGTAATGTAATCTTGTTAAAACGGATTTCATAAAATTGGCATTGGAAAAAGTATCGTTCAGGAACCGGTATCGAAGTCAAGGTATCGGTATCTGTATCAATATTGAAATTTTTTTAATGATACCCAGCCCTATGAATGATTTGTAGATTGTACACATAAAAAATTATCCGTATTTTCGTATTTTGCAATGATTGGAGGATGGAGAAGAAACAAGAGCTTCTATAAGAGAGCAGACTGGTGCGCTCTGTGTGTGTGTGTGTGTGGAGGGGTCACGCGGGGTGGCCTGTAGTAAGCACTGCACAGTGCGCTTTGTAAGGTGTCTTGATTGGAAATTGAGTGGGTAGTTGACAAATAACGTTGATATTTTATATAAACACACAGCAGGAATTATTAGATTAAACTTGCATGAATCTTGCAGTTCATTTCAATAGCCCTATGGGTGACATTTTTAAAAGTACAAATATTCCACTCAGTCTTTCAATTAATATTAAGTAGCCTAATAAAACAAATGTGTTTTAAATGTGAATAGTTACAAAAATGTTCTTTAAAATTTTGACTTTTGCATTTTATAAATATTTTTTTTATATATTTTCTTTCTAACTATTCCCCTTGAATATTCAAACAATTGCTTTCAGAAGCTTTTGTCAAATTTTCGTCATTTTTGTTGAGTGGTGGCTACCTTTACACAGTTTTATCACATGAGCAATAACTAGTAATTGTAGTATTTTAGCCGAAAATATGGTTAGTTATCATGATTGTTGTAAGGCTAATAAGATGTTACTAGTTGTTAAGTGACAGCTTAAAATTATGGTAAATTGAACGCAGCTGTTAGGATAGAATGGGGACACAGCAATGTAAACAAAAAATAATTTCTGACTTATACATGCTGAGAGGAAATTCCGTCCTAACTAGGACGAACGTGCTTAGTTAAAGGAGTAGTTCACTTCCAGAATGAAAATTCTGTCATCATTTTACTCATCCTCCACTTGTTCCAAACCTGTACTTGTATTTTAATAAGCGCACTCCCCCTGCTGGCGCTAAGTCTGCATTGAATAAACACATTCATTATCGTGAGAACCAAATCAATATTTATTTCCCTGCATCTCTTAAAGGAGTAGTTCGCTTCTAGAATGAGAATTCTGTCAGCGTTTACTCGCCCTTCACTTGTTCCAAACCTGTATGAGTTTCTTTCTTCTGTTGAACACAAAAGAAGATATTTTGAAAAATATTGGTATCCGAACAGATTGACTTACGGACATTCTTCAAAATATATTTGTTTGTGTTCAACAGAAGAAAGAAACTCATACAGGTTTGGAACAAGTTGAGGGTGAGTAAATGCTGACAGAATTTTCATTCTAGAAGCGAACTACTCCTTTAAGAGATGCAGGGAAATAAATATTGATTTGGTTCGTTCTTACAATAATGAATGTGTTTATTCACTGCAGACTTAGCGCTAGTAAGGGGGGTGCGCTTATTAAAATACAACCTTGAAACCTTATTTTAGCCTAAGGTCAGTGTTGCCAATTTGGGGATTTTGTCGCCAAATTTAGCTACTTTCTCATTGTAGCTGCGACTTTTTTTTATTTTTTGCGACATGGAGCTATTTTAGCTATATTTAAATAAAACTAGCGATTTTTTGGAGATTTTTTATTTTTTACTTGGCCACACCCTGCCGTAGGCCCGTGACCTCTCACGTTTGCTCTCAATCATGCCAATGAGTCTGCGCAGTGAACACA